GCCTTAACCCTCCTGTGCATGTAGCTCACCAGAGCTTCACAGGTTGCCAGTGAGGTCCTCTTCCACTCTTCCATGATGACTCCACGGAGCTGGTGGATGTTAAAGACCTTGCGCTCCTCCACCTTCCGTTTGAGGATGCCCCACAGATGCTCAATAGGGTTTAGGTCTGGAGACATGCTTGGCCAGTCCATCACCTTTACCCTCAGCTTCTTTAGCAAGGCAGTGGTCGTCTTGGAGGTGTGTTTGGGGTCGTTATGTTGGAATACTGCCCTGCAGCCAAGTCTCCGAAGGGAGGGTATCATGCTCTGCTTCAGTATGTCACCGTACATGTTGGCATTCATGGTTCGCTCGTCTTATAGCCTAGACCATCTTTATGTAGAGCAACAATTCTTTTTTTCAGATCCTCAGTTCTTTGCCATGAGGTGCCATGTTGAACTTTCAGTGACAGTGACCAGTATGAGAGAGTGAGAGCAATATTACCAAATTTAACACACCTGCTCCCTATTCACCCCTGAGACCTTTTAACACTAACAAGTCACATAACACCGGGCGAGGGAAAATGGCTAATTGGGCCCAATTTGTACATTTTCACTTGTGTACTATCTTTTGTTGCCACCGGTTTAGACATTAATGGTTGTGTGTTGAGTTATTTTGAGGGCACAGCAAATTTACACTGTTATACAAGCTGTACACGCTACTTTACATTGTAGCAAACTGTCATTTCTTCAGTGTTGTCACATGAAAAGATATAATAAAATATTTCCAAAAATGTGAAGGGGTGTACTCACTTCTGTGAGATACTGTGTATGTGTATGTACAGTTGTGTTCAAAATAATAGCAGTCAGACATCACTAACCTGATCAATCACTGTTTTTGGTAGAAATGATATTTCTACATGGCAAATAATTTACTAGCAGGTGTAGTAGAGTAATAGAAATCCAACAGACCCAACAGTCATAACATGCATGCTGCGGATTCAGTATCATTGAATCACTAATTGAAAGGGGCATGTTCAAAATAATAGCAGTGTGGAGTTCTATTAGTGAGGTCATTCATTCTTTGAAAAACAGGTGGCAATTATTGCCCTTATTTAAGGAAGGAAGGCAGCAAACGTTGTACATGCTGGTTACAGTGCATTTCTCTCTGAAATTCTGAGGAAAATGGGTCGTTCCAGACATTGTTCAGAAGAACAGCGTACCTTGATTAAAAAGTTGATTGGAGAGGGGGAAAACATATAAAGAAGTGCAGAAAATAATAGGCTGCTCAGCTAAAAAGATTGCAAATGCTTTAAAATGGCAACCAAAACCTGAAAGACGTGGAAGAAAGCGTAAAACTACCATTCAAGTGGATAGAAGAATAGCCAAAAGGGCAAGGACTCAGCCAATAATCAGCTCCAGGAAGATGAAAGAAGGTGTAAAGTTACCTGTGAGTACTGTTACAATTAGAAGACTCCTATGTGAAGCCAAGCTATCTGCAAGAAGCCCCCCGCAAAGTCCCACTGTTGAAAAAAAGACGTGCTGAAGAGGTTACAATTTGCCAAAGAGCACATTGACTGGCCTAAAGAGAAATGGCGCAACATTTTGTAGACTGATGAAAGTAAGATTGTTCTTTTTGGGTCTAGTGGCCGGAGACAGTTTGTTAGACGACCCCCAAACACTGAATTCAAGCCACAGTACACTGTGAAGACAGTGAAGCATGGTTGCGCAAGCATCATGATATGGGGATGTTTCTCATACTACGGTGTTGGGCCTATTTATCGCATACCAGGGATCATGGATCAGTTTGAATACATCAGAATACTTGAAGAGGTCATGCTGCCTTATGCTGAAGAAGAAATGCCCTTGAAATGGGTGTTCCAACAAGACAACGACCCCAAACACACCAGTAAACGTGCAACATCTTGGTTCCAGACCAACAAGATTTACATTATGGAGTGGCCAGTCCAATCCCCGGATCTTAATCCAATAGAAAACTTGTGGGGTGACATAAAAAATGCAGTTTCTGAGGCAAAACCAAGAAATAGAGAAGAACTGTGGAATGTAGTCCAATCATTTTGGGCTGGAATACCTGTTCACAGGTGCCAGAAGTTGGTTGACTCCATGCAACACAGATGTTTAAGCACTGTTTCTGAGAACTGCTGTACAGCAAAATATTCATTAAGTGAATCAAAGGAAAGCAAAATCTTCAAACATTTTTCAGTTTATATAGTGAATGTTTGAGTTTGTAAAGAAGAATACAAACACTGCTATTTTTTTGAACAGTTTAATCCCTTTTCTTCAATTATTTAGAGGAACAACACAAATTTGATACATTTTTCTTCATGTTTTGATTTGGAATAGAATGTGTAGTGTTCCCAATGCATTTGTGTGTATGGAAATAAAAACTATTAGAAGGATTTTGAGCTTTATTCACTTTTTTCAACACACTGCTATTATTTTCAACACAACTGTATATATATATATGTGTGTATGTATATGTATATACGTGTGTGTATATATATATGTGTGTTTGTGTGTGTGTGTATATATATATATATATATATATATATATATATATATTTTCTCATGACACTGTACGGCTCCGGAAATGGGGATCAGGATTTATTTATTAGGTGATTTATTTGTTTTTTTAAATGCTATGATCGCTTATTACAGTGATGATCACTGTATAAGCAATCATTTATGCTGTGTTTGGTTTCCATTCATGACACCATTGTTTCTCTTGACTTCTGTGATCGGCTCTATACTAGGTGATCACTGTGATCACAAAGATCACAGTAGTAAGGAATGGTGTCATGAATGACCGCCATTGTTTACTACTTTTCAGGTGATTGCTATGAATGATAACATGGTTACAGGGCCAATCACAGTAACGCAGTACCCAGTTGGTGATCCACTGTATCTGGTGGACACAACGATACAGATTAAGCCCCCTAAACAGCCCTGTGGCAGCATACGAGCACCTGAAGTGCCTCCTTCCAGAATGGTTCTGCTCCTGCCTGGCTGCATCTGTACATTGGCCAAGGGGAAGGTGGTTAAACTCTCCAGCAATGGTACTGGTGACATTGTGATGAACGTGGGTCAGACCCCTGACCTTCTCACCAAACTCGTGACCGAAGGACTAGCCAATCTGAAACTGCGATGTCACGTGCGTAATAATGCCACGCCCAGCTGCCCCCTGCGCAACGATTTTCCAGCTAATTGGACCACAATCGATGTACCAGCAGCCTGGGAGCAATTGTTACTGGGTCAGGTTAATTACGCAATTAACCCTTCACACTGCCACCACCTCCTTTTTGTACAGAGAAAGAGGAAACTTGGCGATATCAGCTATAACACTATAATGGTTGAGATAATTGTCTGTATCGCACGGTCACCGCAGACCGGTTATACAGAGGGTTAAACAAATACAGTAGCGCTCTTTTAGAGGCAGGAATTTGTAAATTGCAATAAAGAGCTATAGAAACAGTTCAACACTTTCAGAAGGAAAGATTTATTACTAAAAGGTCAAAAGGGTGCCATAAAATTATTTACAGAAAAAAGATGTAACCAATATATATATATAAATATACAGAGAACAACAGCACAGCAAAGAGATAACAGAGAGAAGTTAGAGGGTTAAAAGTACTTGCCAAAATCCCGGGTTAGCAGATCAAGTATCAGAGTGAAAGGGCATGGGTCTCCCCAGGTGGTTCTGATGTTAAAAGGGAGAATTCTTCAACTTTCTTCTCTTAGGCCTGACAGCCCATTTTGTAGTTCCCTAGCAGGGGGTGTCTCTGAAGTCAAGGACCAATGCCCCGTTTAGGGAGGGAAGGTCTGGGCGTAGACCTAAACTAGAGCCAAAATCTCTTATAGTTCATATTTTGGCTCATAACTTTCCCTATGCACAAGTGACATTCCACCCGCGGGTAGATTATTATGCAGACACATCTGAGGAATGATTAGATATGAAATTATACACTAGTTCAAGAGATCTACTTTTCTGCTTTCCTATGTATTCCAGCCAAGGAGAGTGAGTGTAAGTCTCTCATATTCCAAGATATGAGACATAGGGGAAAAATGGATTTTCAAGGTGTTATCTACTTCGTTCTTCTCTGGAATGTCTTTGAACTCCTGGGAAGGCTTGCGTTATCTTTTACAATGTGCTAGATTGCACAGCTCTCTTAGACAACCAGGCGCTTCAGCTCAAAAATGTTTTATAGCTCTGGGGCTCCCTGCTGTGCCCCGGCCAGCCTGTGACACTCCTAACACACAGTCCATATGTCAATGTGTATGAACAGAGAGGAAGGGGGGGAGAATGAGGGGGAAATATGTTTGTCAAGATGGTTGACCCTTTGCCAAGATGGAGGTTGAAGCGCGTCCATCTCTGGGTGTACGCTTGCTACAGACATTACTATTTAATTCGTGCCAGCATTGGTGGTCATCAGCAGTAATATTTAACCACCTCCATTGGTAGTGAGTGGCAGTGAAATTTAACCCCCCTGCATTGGTGGTTAGTGGAGTGAAATTTACCCCCTTCATTGGTGGTCAGTAACATTATTCTCTGTATTAGTCCTTTAGTGTCTTTGAATCTTTCCAAGATGATGTTTGGCAGGGACTATGGTTGTACTGTCCTGCAGAGATTACTCTATCTGATAGTAACAGCATCTCCATGCAAAATGCTAGGTGCTGGCATGCATATGGTATTCTAGTGTCCAGTACTTTGGTTCCTGTCTGCATAGTCCAAGTGTACTAGGTTCTGTGGGATAGAGTCCAGAATCTGGGACACTTGGCAACTAAGCCAGCACTGGGAAGCTAATACGTAGTACCGTCGCATTCAGGCACAGAAAAAAGACCTGCTAAGAATTGTGTGGTCAACTTGCCCAACTTCTTACTATCCATAACTGACCTGTTTAACACCCATGAAGTTTAATTGGTTTAATGCATCTTTGTTGATACCAACTACGGCAAGTTTTTATGCAACAGAACCTGTTAATTGTCTCTTCTCTCTTTGATTCTAAGGTGTACTCAGCTAAACACAAAGTTGTCTAAACTGTCCAATGAGCTGAAGGAAGAACAGGAAATGAACAAGTGCCTCAGAGCCAACCAGGCATTGCTCCAAACCAAACTGAGGGGAGGAGGAGAATCTTCTGAAAGAAGTCAGTGAGCAGAAAGACCTTCAGATCGTGGAAATGCAGGAACAACTACGGGATGTCATGTTCTATTTGGAGGCTCAGAGAAAAATTAACCAAATGCCAGAAGAAGCTCGGCAGGAGATTCAAGATGGTCAAATCAACATAGCTGTGGCATCATCTAGTTCACCTCAAACATCAGGAAAATCACGAAAGGGTCGTGGCAAAAGAGGCAAATAGCAATGGGTGTTATTTTAATTCTGTAGCCTCCTATATATGTCTTTGGGTCATCTTTGTTTTCCATTTGAAATGGGACAAGGGAATGTCACCCAAAGAAATCCCACCAGCTTGATTGCTGGCATATGAGAACCCAGAGTCCTTTATTTATAGCACATTTCCAATATAGTTTCTGGTACAAACTGATGAAAGATATAAACAGTAAAGCTTTCTATTTTAAATAAGCTGTTAAGCCTCCTGCCTTATGTACTCTGTTATATAAAAGCTTCAATCTTCCAATTTCCATGACTTATTTTAAAGTCGTGCTTATTGAACTTCTGTTTCACTGTAATCTCTTCCCTTCTGAAAGAGGGTGATGTTAATATGGTATAATAGCAATGCCATAAAGAAATAATGAAGCTTATATGCTAAAAAGGAATGGAGATGCTGAAATAGGTTTGATATCTTTTAACTTAAATAAACACAGAGAATGGCAATGTTAAATAATATCTGCTAATTATATTTTCAGTACAAAATTACAATTTTGCAGTTTGTAAGACGTGAATTGTATTTCATAGAAGACCAGTTGATTTACTTAATAATGGCAAAAACCAATACGCAGAAACTAATGGCAGACAGTCAGACCTGAGTATTTGACAGTTCACAACAGTTTGAACAGTAAAAATATGAATTCTGATTGGTTGCTATGCATTACTGCACTTTGCACACTGCATGTTGCCTTATTAAATAGGTGAGAAAGTTGTTATAAAATGAGTACCTGTAAATACATTGGCTCAAGACATTTTCAGACACAATTTGGCCTGAATTAAAATTTAAGCTTGAGCCATTACAGTTTACTAAAAGTGGTAATTCAAATACATCAGTGCTGGCAATGGCAAGGGTAGTATGTATACGTTATCCATGTACAGCACTCCATCTTATAATGTACATTTTGCCAAAAGTAGAATTTGCAAAGCAGAGAAAACCGTTTTGTGGATTTAAGGCAGAAGACCTGACAAAATGCAATTCTCGGTCATTATTATGCAAAATGAAAAGTTATTTCTATGTAACTTTCTTTGTATGCACCGTTTGAACTAGAAACGCACCCTTAGCTGCCGGGTAGCTTTGTATATTGTAACTTTCAAGGATATCTATTGTTGCAGCTCAGGATTTATATCCAGTATAGGTATAAACATACATGTATTTGTTTTTGCTGCTAGTCCTGTACATTGAGAGTTATAATTCATCGAACTGACTCTACAACAGAGGGAATATCCAGATTGTAAGGGTTTACGTAGTGTAGAAACTACATTGTGTGTAATGGCTAGTTGGTTGTTTCAAACTTAGAAAAGCAGGATGCGGCCTAAGCCTGTTTTTCATGTCCTAGGCCTATAATATATTACTAAACAGTCGTAAGGCATAAGTAGTTTGTAATTTAGACTTTTTTGTGGACTTGGACATTGTTGGACATTATTTTTTGGCACGCTTAATGTTCTTCTTTTACACAATATGCACTCAATACAGTCAATAGTTTTGCATCATATCACTGTATTGGCAGCAAACTGTAGCTGGCATGGTACAATCTAGAAAGGTGAACGTCTGCAATAAATTCAGCTGATGTTTCAGGTGGCTTATTGAAGTGTCATCCCACAATTGTCCCTTTAGTGACAAGGACCCTCTGTTGGTTCTCTGACATTAGGCCTAGATTGTTGTAATAGTAAAACTTAAATGTGTTGTACAATATACAAGTAGTGCAATCTGAATAACTCCCAGAAGTGCTGCCTTCCTGTCTAATTGTATTTATTTGTAAAAGAACATTTTAAGTTGCCTATTGGCTTTTTCTGTCACTTGTACAGAATGTCCGCATGTATGATCTTTGCGTTTTATCTTAGGTTCTTATATTTAAGTTTGCTTTTGCTGTTTTTTTTCCTGATACAAAGAATAAACCAGTTCCTAATTTATGAACAATATTGAATTTGGCTGCTGAATCCATGTCCATATACATTTTCACTACTACTTACAAAAAGACATCTGGCTGTTTTAAGCTGAACAACAATTTTAAAATGCATATGGATACCAATGGAGTTGTAATTCTATTCAAACAGGCTAGAAAATCTGTCCTGATCACTAGTGTTAGGGAATCCCGGGAGTGTGCACCTGCCATGTTTATCAATAATTTCCATTCACTGAAATGGATTTGGCCTCACTGGTGGACTGACGTAGCTGAAAGTAGTTCGATCATGCTCTTATACTAACATCATAATTATCACATAGGTAAACAGACATTACTTTTTACATAAAAGCAAAAATTGGATTGTTATTGAAATGGTTACTCTAGATCAGGGGTAGGCAACCTGCGGTCCTCCAGCTGTTGCAGGACTGCAAGTTCCATCATGCCTCTGCAAGTCATAGATGCAACTGTCAGTTTTGCAATGTCTCATGGGACCTGTAGAGTCATGCTTGTAACTTCTGGTCTTTGCAATGCCTCATGGGAAATGTAGTTCCACAACATCTGGAGAGCTGCAGGTTGCCCACCTGTGCTTTAGATAAAGATGATATACTTCAGTAAGAACATGAGAAAAAATGTGCCTTTTCACTCATGCAATAAAAAATAATGGAAGTAAGGGTGTATTGCGGGAAAATGTAAGTGCTACTAAACCCACAACAGTAAAATCTGTTTGTATATGCAGTAAAGCACGCTTGTTATACTCACTGTGGAACCTAAGGGGTTAATCCTCTGCATTGTGTAAAAAGGCTGTTTGATCCTGTCTTCTCTGATCCTCTGCTTCTACTGTCGCCAGTCCATCTGCTGATAGAATATAGCCTTGGGGGTGAGCTGCACATGCTCAGTTTGGTGTGTATTGCTAGAGCGTTTTTTTTTTTTTTTTTTTTCTTCTTGGGAGAGTGCATGTGATCAGCACAGGGCCAATCGGTACTTTCCAGACAGAGGGTCAGGGGTTATGCAGCCTTACAGGAAAGTCAGGGGAGAATGAAAACTCCTGCTGGACACTGATAGAAGTCACATGACTGCTCTAACTGCTGATGAGAAAAGGCATTTAGCAGTTTACATTTACTAAAATAATTTAATTTCCGTGTTTCTGTTTACTGTGGGAAACCAGATATAGTGAATGCAGGGTCCTGGGTTTAGTAACACTTTAAGTACATGCTTTGCATCACAAGCTGGTATTGCCCCTGTATAAGAAATCACTTCTTTGTAGGCTTTTTGTATCACTGTTCATAGTCTCTAACATCTGAAATTTTTGACACACTTCTCAATGTAAAATTTCTTCATGCAAGGAAACTTATATACTTTTTGCAAGTGAACTGCTGTCTTCAAAATCCCTCTACAAAATATCTCTCTATAGCAGTGGTTCTCAACGTTTCTAATGCCGCGACCCCTTAATACAGTTCCTCATGTTGTGGTGACCCCCAACCATAAAATTATTTTCGTTGCTACTTCATAACTGTATATTTTGCAGTGGGAGGACTAGCGCCCCATCACTGATGTCAGTGGGATGAATAGTGTCCCATCGTTGGTATCAGTGGGAGGAATAGTGCCCCATCATTGGCATTAGTGGGAGGAATAGTGTCCCATCATTGGTATCAGTGGGAGGAATAGTGTCCCATCATTGGTATCAGTGGGAGGAATAGTGTCCCATCATTGGTATCAGTGGGAGGAATAGTGCCCCATCATTGGTATCAGTGGGAGGAATAGTGCCCATCATTGGTATCAGTGGGAGGAATAGTGCCCCATCATTGGTGTCAGTGGAAGGAATAGTGCCCCATCATTGGTGTCAGTGGGAGGAATAGTGCCCCATCATTGGTGTCAGTGGGAGGAATAGTGCCCCATCATTGGTGTCAGTGGGAGGAATAGTGCCCCATCATTGGTGTCAGTGGGAGGAATAGTGCCCCATCATTGGGTGTCAGTGGGAGGAATAGTGCCCATCATTGGCGTCAGTGGGAGGAATAGTGCCCAATCATTGGCGTCAGTGGGAGGAATAGTGCCCCATCATTGGTGGTCAGTGGGAGGAATAGTGCCCCATCATTGGGTGTCAGTGGGAGGAATAGTGCCCCATCATTGGGTGTCAGTGGGAGGAATAGTGTACAATCATTGTCATCAGTGGGAGGAATAGTGCCCCATCATTGGTGTCAGTGGAGGAATAGTGCCCAATCATTGGGTGTCAGTGGGAGGAATAGTGCCCAATCATTGGTGTCAGTGGGAGGAATAGTGCCCCATCGTGGGTGTCAGTGGGAGGAATAGTGCCCCATCGTGGGTGTCAGTGGGAGGAATAGTGCCCCATCGTGGGTGTCAGTGGGAGGAATAGTGCCCCATCGTGGGTGTCAGTGGGAGGAATAGTGCCCCATCGTGGGTGTCAGTGGGAGGAATAGTGCCCCATCGTGGGTGTCAGTGGGAGGAATAGTGCCCCATCATTGGTGTCAGTGGGAGGAATAGTGCCCCATCGTTGGTGTCAGTGGGAGGAATAGTGCCCCATTGTGGGTGTCATTGAGGGGAGGAATAGTGCCTCATCATTGGTGTCAGTGGGAGGAATAGTGCCCCATCATTGGTGTCAGTGGGAGGAATAGTGCCCCATCGTGGGTGTCAGTGGGAGGAATAGTGCCCCATTGTGGGTGTCATTGGGAGGAATAGTGCCTCATCATTGGTGTCAGTGGGAGGAATAGTGCCCCATCATTTGTGTCAGTGGGAGGAATAGTGCCCCATTGTGGGTGTCAGTGGGAGAATAGTGCCCCATTGTGGGGTGTCATTGGGAGGAATAGTGCCTCATCATTGGTGTCAGTGGGAGGAATAGTGCCCCATCATTGGTGTCAGTGGGAGGAATAGTGTGCCCCATCATTGGTGTCAGTGGGAGGAATAGTGCCCCATCATTGGGTGTCAGTGGGAGGAATAGTGCCCCATCATTGGTGTCAGTGGGAGGAATAGTGCCCCATCGTTGGTGTCATCAGTGGGAGGAATAGTGCCCATCGTTGGTGTCAGTGGGAGGAATAGTGCCCCATCTTTTGTGTCA